AGGGCGTGAAGATCGGTGTTGGTGGAGACTGTCCTAGCGTTGTAGGTGCAGAGCATGAGACAATCTTTATGGCGAGTCTGAGGTGGTCCGAAATCCATGGCGTCCTGTGCAACCTGACACCGGTATTGATAATTCCGACGCCGTAGATGTGATCCAGTATGTACGGCTTCTTTTTCTCTTACATATACAGGCAATAGAAAAACGTCCCCAAACATTAGCAGAGCCTTGCCAGGACCTGCCAAGCTTTCACCACAGCAATCGCTGACTTCATGTGGATCAGAAAACCACCTAGCGACTGAGTCGGCCAGGTATTGCTTCTGGCATGGCCTACTCTAAGCTGGGCATCCGGGGAGCCCTTCTTAGCTTGGGAGATCCTGCTGGAAGATAAACCTCCGCTGTACTTCGCAATTTGACACCAAGAGTCATTCTCGCGCCACGATGAGGCGGTAGACCATCATGGGGAATTGTAAGGAATAGGTTACTAATTTTTCTGCGTGTTTGTCTTTCAAAAAAACAAAGGAAAATTTGATACTGTTCCATATAACAATGTATCTTTAGGAGGCTAAAATAGAAGGTTACGATGGACATGTGGTGTGGGAGGAAGACACAAATAAGGTATGAGTAAAAAGGTCAAAATGCATGAAAAATAGCGAAATCTATTCAGTTGCTTTGTATGAAGTACGAATTTTATGACAAAGTTAAAAAACTTCGAGAAGATCGGGATAATTCAGAAATTTTAGAAATATTTGACACTTTAGGTGTTGCGGCATCGGTAAGCTCTATATTTGACTTTGCCTTAATTGGAATAAAGCAAAAAAAAAACGACTATGTGGCCTTGTTTTGACAAAGCCAAAGCATTTACATGACATCGCGGTTTTTCCATCCGATAATGCTGGCAAGCAGCCTGCTTCCAGCACCCTCCAATGTTATCAGTTAAATTGGAGTAATGTCAAATTGTAAAACTACGGTCATAAAGAAAGTGAATAGTTGCTATAACGACAATAATAGTTTCGTCCTGACTTACCACTTGAAAGGATTTAAATTCTGGATGTCATTCTAAAACTTTCAAGAATACGATCTTCATATGTTGCAGAAGATAATGACGTTATTAGTAAAATAACCATACACATCTTCTCTTGGGAAAGAAGTTTCGCTCTTCTCCTATTCAAATGCGGGAACTTTTTGCAGAAATTCTCATAATCTTTGTTGATCAATCCTTTTCCTAACAGAAGAAGCTCACTTTTTTCAAGTGGCGAAAGAGAAATACGGTGGCAGATGCAGGCTGACGCTGATATCGAATCCGCC